AATGCAACAGGGCATAACCAACATGTACAACATATATACATAAACCATCTAGATACAGAACAATGTGTTAAAGTATATGAACACATAACTACCTCTTCCCAAGCAAGCATACATATATAATGTATCTCAATAATTCATCACATGCGATGTTCCATTAACAATGGTATAATGCATACACGACAATTCAATTCCCATATTTATTTTCTATGACTCACATAGAGTTAAAGTTTCGTTCTTCACTTTCAAAATCAACTTTCATAATTTTCCAAATCAATATGTTCCACCACTTATTCTAAAAACACTTTTCTCATTTTCCCAAAATCAATTCCATTCCTTCCATAACCTTCCAAACTAATTATGCAAATTAAATCATAAACATTAAGTTAGGGTTTTTCTCCCTGTTTTAATTCATCATGACACATATAAATTAGGGCTTTTCTATATTTCAACAACAACATGCTATTTCACGCCACAAATAGTCCAATGAACACCCAAAGACAATAAATCCATTTTTAATCAACCAACTCTAGGTTCCCTCATGATTTTCAAACAAACCCAACATAGGTATGGTTTTCATGCAATACAAAACTACCACATGTCTATCTATAGACGAAGTATTGAAAAAGAATAAGGAAATCCCTACCTCAAGTGGAGAACTCTAATGGAGAAGATGACCCGAAATCAAAGTGCTTCAAATCCCAAATTTCTTGGATCACAACGAAGCCCTCGATGATCAACACACTTCTTACAAAGACCCAAGATGAGGAAAACACTCTAGCTAGATCAATCCTAAGAGAGAAGTTAGGTTTTAGAGTGAGGTGCTCTCCAATGGCTTTTTCGGAAAAGTAAGAGAGAGAAAGGAAATCAAAAAGTGATTCAAAAAGCTGAATCTTGGTGTGTTATACAGGTCGCCCCGCTCGAGCGAGGAAACCCCCGCTCGAGCCTCACTCACAGACTCCCGCTCGAGCGCCAAAAACCCCGCTCGAGCGGCGGATACAACCATCCAGAAGTTTTGCAGAACAGGTCCCTGCTCGAGCGTCCAACTCCCCGCTCGAGCGTCAAACCTCACGCTCGAGCGTCCAACACTACAGAGGAAATACTGGGAAGGTGATTTTCCCGCTCGAGCTCCGAAACCCCCGCTCGAGCGGAGAGGTCAAAAACTAGGCAAAGATTCTAGGTTTTAAAACACAACCAACATAACCCAACAAGTCCAACACAACCCAAAACTCTTAGATAAAGAGTAAGGGACAGAAAAGAGAATGAGACAACAACAACAAATCTACGGAACCGAGTCCGGATTACGGTTCAATAACAACAGGGAATACTGGGATCGCTATATCATAAGGTCCAGCATACCTTGGCGCCAATTTGCCCTTAACACCAAACGGAGTTTGACCCTTCATCGGTGTCACTTTAATGAACACGTGGTCCCCAACTTCGTATTCCCTATCTCTTCTTCGAACATCAGCATAGCTCTTCTGCCGACTTTGTGCAGTTTTTAGACGTTGCTGGATCAGTTTTACTTTCTTGGTTGTTTCTTGCACAAGTTCCAGTCCCAACAAAGGTCTATCACCTACTTCAGCCCAACATATCGGAGAACGACATTTTCTTCCATACAAAGCTTCATAAGGAGCCATTCCAATGCTTGAATGGTAACTGTTGTTATACACAAATTCAGCTAATGGCAGATAGGTCTCCCAATTCCCTTGGAAATCTAACACACACATTCTGAGCATATCCTCTAAAGTTTGGTTAGTTCGCTCAGTTTGTCCATCTGTCTGTGGGTGATAGGCACTACTCAACCTCCGTTCAGTCCCCAAAGCCTGTTGCAAACTCTGCTAAAATCTTGATACAAACTTTGAGTCCCTGTCAGATACAGTAGATACTGGCACTCCATGCAATCTCACAATTTCAGTCATATGAATATTGGCCAATTTATCCGTATTATAAATAGTTTTGACAGGCAGAAAATGGACAGACTTAGATAAACGGTCAACTATAACCCAAATGGAGTCCATACCTCGGGAAGAACGAGGCAATCCCACGATGAAGTCCATGGTAATGTGCTCCCACATCCATTCTGGTATTGGGAGTGGTTGTAGCAAACCAGCGGGTTGTTGGTGTTTAGCTTTAACCTGTTGACAATGTAGGCACCTAGCCACAAAATCTGCAATACTCTTTTTCATTCCAGGCCACCAAAAATTCTGTTTTAAATTGTGATACATTTTCGTGTTCCCCGGGTACATGGAAAACTTACTGTTGTGTGCTTCGGTCATCACACGTTTTCTCAAATCACAATAATCGGGTACACAAAGACGGTTTTGGAATTTCAGTACATCATTCTCAAGCACAAATCCTGGCCTCGGCATTGACTCAAACTCCTCTATAATCTTTTTCAAGTATGCATCTTCACATTGTTTTTGTTTGATCTCGTCAAGAATCGTAGGTTGAGCAGAAATGACAGTTAAAATCCCACCTTGTTCTTGCACACTAATCTCAATCTCTTTCTTTTCCAGGTCAACAAGCAGTTCCTTTCGATTGGTCAGCAACCATGACAAATTTGCACTAGATTTTCGGCTCAAGGCATCTGCTACGGTATTAGCCTTCCATGGGTGATATAAGATCTGCAAATCATAATCCTTGATTAACTCTAACCATCGCCTCTGCCTCATATTTAATTCCTTTTGGGTGAAGAAATATTTCAAGCTTTTATGATTGGTATACACCTCACAAGTTACCCCATACAAGTAGTGACGCCAAATTTTCAAAGCAAACACCACAGCTGCCAATTAGAGATCATGCGTCAGGTAGTTCTTCTCATGAGGTCGGAGTTGTCAGGAAGCATAGGCAATCACTTTTCCGTTTTGCATCCATACACACCCCAAGCCTTTGTGAGAAGCATCACTGTAGACTTGAAACCCATCAGTACCATTGGGCAAAGCTAAAATTGGTGTAGTCACTAACCTGGTTGTCAATTCCTGAAAGGCTACCTCTCTTTGTTCATTCCAGTCAAACGACACATTTTTCTGAGTTAACTGGGTCAACGACATAGCAAGCTTGGAAAAATCTTTCACAAATCTTCGGTAGTAACCTGCAAGTCCCAGAAAACTTCTAACTTTTATTACGCTCATCGGTCTAGGCCAATCCACAATAGCTTCAATCTTCTGAGGGTCAACAAAAACACCATCCTCATTGATCACATGTCCCAAAAATGTTACATTGTCAAGACAGAATTCACATTTGGACAATTTAGCATACATTTTCTTTTCTCTCAAAATCTGCAAAGTAGTTCTCAGATGGTTCCCATGTTCTTCCCTGTCTTTAGAATAAATCAAAATGTCATCAATAAACACGACAATGAATTCGTCAAGATATTTTTTGAAAACACTATTCATTAGGTCCATAAAAGCTGCAGGTGCGTTTGTCACTCCAAAAGGCATTACTAGGAATTCATAATGTCCATATCTAGTTCTGAATGCAGTTTTCTCTACGTCCTCTGCTTTAACCTTTAACTGATGATAACCGGACCTAAGATCAATTTTAGAGAACACTTTAGCTCCTTGGAGTTAATCAAACAAATCATCTATTCGAGGTAAGAGATATTTGTTCTTAATAGTCACTTTGTTCAATTCTCGATAGTCTATACACAACCTCAAAGATCCATCCTTGTTTTTGACAAACAAGACCGGAGCACCCCAAGGTGAAGTGCTCGGACAGATAAATTTCTTATTTAACAGCTCCTGAAGTTGAGTTTTTAATTCTTTCAATTCTGAGGTAGACATTCTATAGGGGGTCTTGGAAATAGGTTGTGTCCCTGGAAACACCTCAACAGTGAATTCAATTTCTCTATCAATTAAGTCCCCAGGTAAGTCAGTCGGAAACACATCGGGAAATTCACAAGCAACAGGGATTGTTTTTACAATAGTACTGTCAGATGGTGCAGTCAGTATTCAACATAGATAACTCCTACATCCCTTCCTAAGGAGTTTTACAGCTTTCATAGTCGAAATTAGATATGGGGGAGGAACTACCCCATTCCCAATAAAAGTAACTTCATGCATACCCGGTGGTCTAAATACAACAGTTTTATTTGCACAATCAATGGTAGCACAGTATTTAGTCAACCAGTCCATCCCTAAAATACAATCAAAATGATTAATGTCCAAGGGTAATAAGTCCACATATAACATCATATCACCAATCATAATATCACATGCCGGATAAACATTTGTGCACATCATAGAATCCCCAGACGGCGTAGATACAGATAACACATATGTCATAAGTTCTAATGGTCTAGTCAATTTTCGAGAGAAAGCATGCGATACAAAGGAATGTGTAGAACCAGAATCTATCAATACGCATGCATCTTGAGAACATACAGAGAGTGTACCTGACACCACGGTATAGGTGTTTGGTACGTCACCAGGCACTAAGGTGAACACTCGACCCTGTCTTAGAGGTTCTTTCCCAGTATTGGCCCTCGCACTCGTCTTGGATGCAGAAGCGGATCCGACTTAGCTTGCCGTTGTTTGGTTGGTATTTTCGAACCTGACAGGACAATCCTTCATCATATGACTAGTCTTTCCACATCTAAAACAGGCGCCCAAAGCTCGATAACAATCCCCCTTGTGTTTCCTACCACATTCTGAGCAAGTCAGTATAGTACCACTACTTTGGCTTGAGCTACTGTAAGATCCTGTGTTTCGCCTCTTATTCCTAGAAAATGAACGACCCTTTTTGAAATTGTTTCCATATCTTTTCCCCGGTCCAATCAGTTCGTGGGACTAGAGTTTGTTTCTTCGCTGCTAGAATGGACTCTGCCATTAATGCCCTATCCAAAACATTTACGTACGTGGGTAGGTTCAAGACTCCCACCCTATCCAGTATGTTTAGATCCAATCCATCCTCAAACTTGCGGGCATTCTTGTAGTCTGTGTCCACCATGTGAGGAGCAAACCTGGCCAACTCAGTAAACTTAGCCTCGTACTCGGCTACAGACATTCTGCCTTGTTTGAGTTCCTGGAATTCTGAAACCTTCCGGTCTCGAAAGCATTGGGGAAAGTACTTGTCATAGAAGATTGTATTGAATTGAGTCCACGTCATATTCTCGTGGCCATTTCGAATTAGTAACCACCACCTTCGGGCTTCATCCTTCAGAGTATAGGTGGCTAGGAAGACTTTCTGGACTTCAAAACAAGGGAACACCTCATACAGTTTCTCCATTTCAAGTAACCACGTCTCTGCTTTCAACGGTTCAATTCCACCATAGAATGTTGGCGGTTTCATTTTCATGAACTTCTACGTCAAGTCGATGATGTCACCGGTGCCCATTTCAACTTGAGCCGGCAGGGGTGGAGGTGGTAAAGGTTGTTGCCTCTGTTGTTGCATTACCACTTCGGTGAAGGTTGCAAGCATTTGTTCCATTCTATAAATTCGGGCATCAGAGGACCCTGCTGTGTCATCATTCTTTGTATTGTCCATTTGCTATAGGTAAACAAAACTTTGCGTATTCAAATTCACATTTTATACTTGAACTTATGCTTTCACTTTCGAACAATACGCATAAACATGCAGATGAAATGCCCCTACTTCTAAATAGGACTTCCTAAGCTCATATGGACCTTTGTGTGCGGTAGAACACGTGCTCTGATACCACTCTGTCACGACCCAAACCCGCCCCTGTAGGTTTAGCACCGTGATCGGCTAGTAATCCGTGGATTACCAAAGGCCTCTGAACAGATTAGCCAATAATAAGGGGCTGCGGAAGCAATAATACAAAATAGACAAGGTCCAATGAGCTGTGATAACATACATGGGACAGAACATTTTAAAACTTATTTATATATACAAAAACATGCCAGTCCAGATACACGATATTTACAAGGTATTTACAGAATGTGCTTCCCAAGACCTGACTTTACAGAGCATACACAAAGACTAGCATGAATACAAAAACAGCAATGGCTTAGGCTTCGTTCGGAACCTCCTCGAGAGGCACAACGGTTGGCTGACAAAACAGAACAGAAGGCCGTCAATTCTGGCCCTAGTCACAGGCCGGTTCACCTACATACATAATATAAATTGTGAGCTAAAGCCAGTGAATAATAACAGAGTAAATGATTTAATGAATGATGTCCGTCACAGAGTTAGAAATCAAATTCTTATCAGAACAGATTCATATACATATTCATAATCATTTCCATATTCAGATTTCGCATATAATCATACGTGGTACATCCCTTAGCATTAACAAATCCGATGGCCCATAAAGGGACGGCCTTGAAGGCATTCTGATGACTCATGTGCATAGAGACGTTTCTGATGACCCATAAAGAGACCTGATGACCCATAAAGGGACGTATATCATATGATGCTAAGGATGCCACGAATAACTTTCAGAATTTTGGACAACCATTCATTTATTTCAAACATAGCATAGCATTTCAAAGAACTAATTACTTCGTATCATAATATTTAGAAAATAGTTAACATTGAACATAACTTTACAAAGTTATTACTCACAGATGATTGATAGCCCTAACTAGATAGTGAGGCGGCCCTTCACTTGTTCTGAGGCGCGTGACCTATATGAACACACATACGAACACACACTTGAAATACACGTTCGAATTGTACATGACTTACGTCGTTTGCTCTTAGTGTGTTTCTAACCCTTAATCCTCATTATGGGGTCTTAAACATGGCTTAGAAATGCCTAGGATGGAATGAGGATGCAAGAATGCGTTGGAAAACATTTCTGAAGATTTGCTGAAAATAAGGTCCATGCTCGAGCGTGGCTTCCCTCGCTCGAGCAGGCATGCAGACAATGAAGCTTCGCTTGAGCGTGAATCTCCTCGCTCGAGCGTACTATAAATTCATGAAAAAGTGCTGGATGCATGATTTTCACACTCGACGGGCACTCGACCTATGCTCGAGCGTGAGACTCAGAACCTCGCTTGAGCGTGGATTCCCTCGCTCGAGCGGACTGTAAAACATAAGAACTTCTGGGTATATGCATTTCACGCTCGAGCATATACTTCCACGCTCGAGCGGAGTGCATGTACTCAGGGTTCACGCTTGAGCGTAAAGTCCCATGCTCGAGTGTGGATCAAATTTCTGGAAATTCCAGATTTGATCACCAAGCTCAAATTCGACCTTTGAAGCATCAAACTCAATTTTCTGGGCCCAAAACTTTGGCAAACACTTAACAACTCATAGAACAACATGTTTAAAAGATCATTTCAAGAAATCATGGCCCAAAAAGATATCAATTTTGCACAAACTCAACTTAAATTCAAAATCAATTGATGAACGTCACATGCAAGTACATTTTTGAGCTAATGCTCAAAACATGATTAAATGCTACCAAATCACATGAAACTCATTGTGTTTCCAAAATCAGAATAAACTCAACACATGCATGAAGGAATTCTTGAAATAAATCTCTAAAATGCCATGAAACATGCATGCATGCATGAATTCATTCTTAATTCCCAACCTTTAATTCAATTCACATGTTAATTCGCCTACCTAACTGATTTCAAGCATTAATCAACTAAATTACAAGGCTAGAGACTAACATTCTTACCTAAAGTTCTCAATTCCTTATGGTTAGAGATGTTCTTGAGCAAACCACCAAGGTCTCCTAGCAATTTCTTTTGATCCTCAAGCTTGATCCCAATTCCTTCCTTCTCTCACTCTCTCCCACGTTTTCTTCCTCTCAAAGCTCAAGTGTGGTTAAGAATGACTAAAGGAGGTGAGTGGGGCTCAATTAGCCTAATAAGTGGTAATGGCTCACAAATAAACAAATGTCATTATTTTAATCAAATTTAATCCTTCCGAACCGAATTTTAATTAAACGTACCATAAAATTCTATAAATTCTAACTAGTACATAAATCAAGCCAATTTCTGATTCGAATGCTGATAAGGCTTTCAATTCACAAACCGAAATTAAATCGTGAACATATCTTTCTACGCCTAACAGATATAAACACAACAATGCAACACACACACATGCATTTTAATTTTAGATTCAACTAAATTTCTAATTAGGTATAATTAATCATGGATTAGGGTTAATCAGAGGTTGGGGTTGTTACAATCGGTATATCCGTTTCTCACCCCTACTGGTAGCTTAAATCTGAGCTTGCTTGAATCGGTGGTTTGGTCAGTCATTTGGTAAGAAGGTGATAGTCACGGTCAACAGGGGGTGACCACCGTAGTAAAAAAGTATTGCACCAATCATCCGAGTAGCTGTCCGGATGGTTGATCGACAAGCACAAATTCAAACTTTTGGACAAACTCAAATTTGAACTACTAATCATTTTTCATTGATAGCCCAAGTCTTGGTTAGCCACCCCAAAGAAATAAAATAAAATTTGTTTTAAGCGATATATATATATTTTTAGATGTCTATAAAATGTGTCTTCAAAAGATATGGTGAAACAAGATTCAAAATATATACTAGACCTCTAAAATTTGTAATTTTAAAATGATAAGAAGTTCAGTTTTTAAAAGATGGAGAAAATTATCAATTGGTCCTAATTATCTTAAAAAAAATTATTGAGTCCTATCAATTTTTTATTGGTAAAATAATAAAGTGTAACAGTCAATTTTTTTTTTTTTTTAACAAATCAGTGAGAAAGTTTATACACTTTAATAATTAAATACTATATTTTCCCATGATTTTGTAATTTTTTTTACTGTCACCACTATACTATTATTCTCCCTTTTTTAATAGCATAATTCAGTCCTATTTTGAGTAAAACACTCTCAAAAAGTCTTAGGTTGTGTTTGGTTTAACTTTCTAAAACTAATTTCATCCTTATATTCTAATGCTATGTTTGGGTTAAGTTTTCAAATTATGATTCTAAATCAATTTCAAAACACATTTTGAAAACATTTTGTTAAACCAGACATTTTTTGAATTTTTGGTCCACCCAGTCGTCTTTTTCGGATGTCCGGCCGATTGACTGGAACTGTACCTTTTTTTAATTTTTATTTATTTATTATTTATTTTTTATTCCCCAATTGCCAATTGCCACCTTTTATTTGAGAAAAAAAAAAATATTTGTTTTTGATATTTTTTAAATATAAAAATTATTTTTTTAAACCAAAATGACAAATTATTTTTTTGAATTGAATTTTAAAAAGAGTTTAGTTGTGAGTTTTGAATAGAATTTTCAATAGAATTTTGAGTTGTGTGCTATGAATTATAAGTTTTTCAATTAAGTTTTGAAAATTCTTTTCAAAACTCATAACCAAATAACTTTTCTCATTTCATATGTCACATCAAAAATTTGAAATTCATTAAAAAACAAATTTTCTTTTTTCAGGTCGTGATTTCAAAACTCATAAACTCCAAATACAACTCTATTATCAAATTATAATTCTAAAACTCTACCAAACGCTACCTTAATTTTCCTAAACTTCAAGGGATTGGCTTAGTGGGAGCAAGTTGGGGCTTTGGAGATGTAGTCCCTCGAGATCTCATATTCAACTTCAATTAGGTGCTATCAACTTCTTGGTATCACAACCTAATTATCAAAAATTCTTAGTTTTGCTACATTTCTCTCATATTATTTGTGACATTTAAGAGAGTCAACATTTAGGAAAATATTTTCCTTTGGGTTTGGATTGTCTCCAATTAGGCACTCTAACTAGATGGTCCAATCTGGCCCATTTTGGATCGTCTTGATGATCCAAATTGTTGAATATGTAGGGTCATCTAGTACTTCATTCCTATAAAAAAAAATTATATTGATCAAATATCAATAGCCACTTAATTAGATCACATTTGTGTTAATAATTTATTTTTAAAATTATACTTAGTATTGATACAAATTTGATTTAATCAAGTGACTATCGATATCCGATCAACGTAATTTTTTACAGAGATGAAATGCTTAACGAGTTTTACATATTGAACGGTTCGAATTATTGATGTGAAGTCTGTGATGGGCCCACAAAAGCCCAATAGCAGACTCTAGTAGAGAGGCCACTATCTTTCCTTTAATGAGGTGATTTCTAAAGCCAAATATTGTTACGGTTCGTAAAGACATAACCCGACTCTATGCAATTTCAGTCGGATTCTAATTTTCAAGTCACTATTAATTTTTTGGTCTATTATGTATAGATTTTGAAGTCCAAATATTAATCATTTTTATTTATTTATTATAAGCTTTCAAAAATAATTTTTAAGTTTTGAATTTATAATTTTTT